TGTGGTAGGCTGAATTTCATGGCAATGTCTGTTTACAGAGAAGTCAAATAGATGATTATTTGTAGTACAAGTATGGCATCCTATAACTGAGACTGCTGCACAGATTTTTAATGCCTTTTATTTGCATGTGGAAGTAGTATTGATCTTGGTTTCCTGGCCTCAGGAATACTGGTGTAGACTTCATTGAGCTGCTGATAGTGCTTATCAAGAGGCACTGGTTTTTGGCACCTGTTGATAAGAAGTTCTACAGTATAATGATATTTCAGGAGCTAATCTAGAATAGGTTCAAACCTATTTCTTAAGAGATATGAGAGTGCCAAGGCATTATTTGTGGCAGCCTTTCATATAAATATTTACAGTCTCATACAGTTCTCTAGAAGATGTGTGATGTTTCTGCATAGGTTGGCTGAGCACAGCTTAAGTTTGTTGAGAAGGTTAGCCAAAAGGCCAAGACATTGGAAGAACCTGATTTTGATGACTTTGAGACATTCAGTCAGTTTGTCTTTGACTCTTTCTAGAGGATAAATTTTACCCTGTGGAGTAAATTACAATCAGTCTTTTTAATCATCACAGTAAAAACACTCTGTGCTACTTCCTGAAGAAGTATAAAGGAAATCTTGCTAATGAGATTAAAAATCTTACTTAGTTGATTTCCTTTTTAATTCATAACTGGATTTTTTAGCCTTTCTGTACTTCATTTGCAAGTCATGATGAATATTAATACTGATTGTTCAATAGAAATCTTGACCATGTTTCTTTCCTCTTGTCCAGGGAGCAGAGGCAGGAATTGTCCTGCTCTGTGAAAAGATCATGAAAATGAATCTGGAATCACCTCTTTGCTTGTTTTCTCTCTTACTTTTGTTCATTGCCCCTCTAACCTTTCCTCCCCACCTTCATATCAGGGCTATATTGTGTTTACAGTTATTCTTTCAAAACCTCTAGGTGGTCATAAAATGGTTGGGAATTAAAAAAAATGGAAGCATATTTCCTTTTTAGTGTTATCAGTGCCATGATTTGTTGTCTTGCCCTATCTTCAAGTTGAGCTTTGCACTGAAATTGCTCCTTTGCTATCTTAATGACTGTTACCGTTTTGTTCATTTGCATGTGCTGGATAAAGGGAATTTTTTTGATGTGATACACTGCGTTAGGTACATGTAGAGTGTTTGGCTGCTTTAATGCTTCCTCCTTTTAGAAGATGAACTTGACTTCATTCGTTCAACTTTTACCTGCTCTGTCCTCTCCCATCTTTCTTGTTTGATCTGGTTGCTTTTATGTAGGTCTAACTGTGAAGAACCAGTCGGGATTTTTTGGTTCTTGTTTGTTTCAATGGTTGAACACTATCATACAGCTAAACAAACAGCTCATGCTGTCTCTTGTTTCAGGAAATAACACAAAATATGTATAGAAGCAATATGTAAATGCAGGAAGTAAGTGTGGCTTCTTTGGCCATGTTGAATTCAGTGTTGAATTAGGATATCTGGAGGGAATTACTGCATCCTATTGCCTTAGGCATGGAAACAGCATATAGTGATCTCTATAGAAAAGTTTGTGGAAGGCATTAACAATTTCCTCTTGGTGTGTCCTAAGGAAGTACCATTATTATTTCTTGCATGGCAAGCCAGGTCAAAAGCCAGCAGGTTTGGCTTCATTAACAAAGTCATGGTTTAACCTTTAGGGTTTCTTTGCCTTTCATTCTTTCTGTTGTCTTTTTGGGGTGTTGGCTCTTGGCTAGTAAAGGACACAGGCAGTGTGAAGGAACCATGACCTGATGCTGCTGTAAGAAGGCAAACACGGAGACTCTCCTTCAATCAGCAGTGAGTTGAGGGGCTGAGAAGGATGTGGTGGTAAAGACCACCTCACAGCTGAGGTGCACAACCATGCTGGTACTTTCCTGTCCAGGAGACAGAATGGCTGTCACTGTGGTAGGGAGGAGAAGAAGCCTTTGGAGGACTAGTAGTCTAGAAAGTCTATATTCAGTTAAGTAGTATCTTATCAAATGAAGTACAGACGAACTGTACTGAAACTTTTCTTAAAGACCTGATTTGCAGAAATCCATAGAAAAACTAGACCAAACAGGAACAACCCCCCCCCCGCAATCCTCCAAAGAACCCAACAGAAAACCTAACCCAACCCAAACCTCACCCAACAAAAGTGCTACTGAATTGAATTTGTCTTGAATTAATCTAATATTTTAAATTGGGTTCTTGTCTGTTTTTCATTCTGAAAACTTTTACTGGAAGTAGTGATGTGCTTCTGTACTTTTTAAATCTTAATGGCCCATGACAGAACATTAATATTAACATTCCTAAGGCATATGTGAGAAGCTAAGTAATTCTGAGCAGTAGCTGCAAGCTGTGAGGCAGTACATTTTCCTGTATTCCTCAGCATACTGTTGTCAGTGATGGCTTTTTACTCTTCTTGTCTCCTGCCATTAGAAACAATAACTTTATTTCTGGACTTTCAGCGTTACAGAAGGAAAACACACTCAGTTTTGGACCTTCTGTGTTGCTGGAGGTCCAAATGCTGGTTCTGTTCCATCCATGCTGGAGTAAATTGAAGTTTTTGAAATTCAGGGGCTTGACTGCATGTGGTTGATGGGGCCCTCTCATTATTTGGGTGTACTTTTTCCAGAACTAGGTGTTAGCAAGCTGACCTGCAAGCCTCTGGCTCCCTGGGCCTTGTCTCCTACACTGAAGCCTACTGTGACTGGGAGCTCCATCCCAGTTTCCTTGCCAGGGATCTCTGTACACTTCAACTCCACCAGCTCACTTTAAAGGACTCTTGAAGTTTGTTTCTTCAGATGTACCCAGTAAAGTGTCATTAAAGCATGGCACATACCAGGAGTAACTAGCAGTGAATAGTTGTGTGTTCCCAATAGTCAGAGTGAGTTTATGATCCTTTTACATGAGGTCTATTTAAATTTGTCTGAGGTGTGAGGTGAGTTAGAGGTCAAAGTAAGAGATAACACAGACCAGTCTCTTCGAGCTCTGTAGTTGTTGGGCTGGGGAGTGTTTGACAGGTCAGTTTGTTTCTCCGTGACTCAGCTTCCTTATCTGAGTTGTTGGAGTTCCCTTGATGTATTTGTAAAACATTTCCAAGTGTGGCACTGATGTGTGCTTAAGAAAACTAGATTATATCATTATTGGATGCTACGCATCGATTTTTGCCTTAAACGTTTGCAAACTGCTGAGAGTTCAGTGTCTTTGGTTTCATCTGGTTTTAATAAGCTGACAAATGTGTATGTGTAATACCATGAAAATCTGTGTGTACCTATGACTTCCCTGTGTTTTGTGGTGTGATGAAGGAAAACTGTTACTAAGCTGGATGGGAAATAGATTAATGAGAACTAAATTGGGAATGATGGTTGACAGCTAGTTAAGCAAGAGATATTTTTTCCTCAGTTCATTTGAAAAAACCCAAAACAACCCCAAAAACTCCAAAAAAAGAGAGTGGAACACTCTTACCTGGCAATTTGCAAAGCCTTTCAAATGGTAATGTAAAAAACATTTGGGTTTTGTTTTGGTGATAGTACTTGTTGGCTTACTTACTTCAGAATCACTTCTGTCTGCTATCACTAAACTTCCTAATCCTTTTTTTTTTTTCCCTCTCCTTTTCAGAAAACAAGGAACAAATATATCCTCCTGCAACGTGTGAGTTGTCTTGTAAGTCTGGGCAGAGCTGCACTTCCCAACTGCTGTGAAGAGCTGGGTAAGAATGGATGCGACATAAAGCAAAGCAGAAGTCCTGAAGCCTTAGTCACCAATCTGATGGATTTACAGTAAGTAGAAGTAGACTTGTTGATCATCTGTCTGCCATGCAAATAAGTCCAACAGTGCATTATTTACATTTTTGTGCTAGCATTAACAAGCAAATACCTTCACTGTCACAAAGTATTGGCACACTCGAGGTGCCAAGCTGCCTGTTGAAATCTGCCTCAAAGGCAGTTCCTGTTCAGTTTTGGGTGAGATGACACCTTGGTGGAGGTTCTTCAACACATTATACTTTGGGTTGAATTGTGCTGTGTCTTAATGCAACTGCTCTTCACGCTCCTGGCTGTCAACAGGGTACAATGTGCCTCTGTACAGGGTACAGCTCTCCAAGCTGGACAAAAGTATTTCTCGGTGCATGACTGAGGCACTTCTGGGCTTTTTTTCATATAGAGGATTCAATAGGTTAAATTATTTATTAAAATAATTGCTGTGGAGCTGTATAACTGTCTATTTTAGAACTGTGCCTGTGAATGTTTTGTGTTTCTTGTGTCTTTGCTAATCTGTGGTTTTACTTAGTGTTAATGTTTAACTTTAAAATAAACTGCTTGGAACATCAGATGTAGCTCCTCTCTTTTAATTTTCAAAACTTTCCTATTGATGTGGCATATTGTTTCCCTGCCATGCTTCTCTCCCTGTTTTTGGTGTGGTGGCTACAACGCACGGCCAAGAAAACAACTGTTTGCCAGGTGTAAGAGTGAAAAAACAAACCCCACGGGGCTTGTGGCGTTATCAAATGAGTTAGTTCCATTTGCATTTTCTGGTGCTTTACTCATGTTCTTGTTTCTGTGTCATAAACCTCAGAGCGACACATGAGTAAGTGTTGAGAGAGGCAGGAGGACCTGAACTTGGTACTGACACCGTGTGGGCTGTTGCCAGGATATTCTTTAACTCTCACTGTCAGGAGAGTGAGCACTGAGTTAACCTCCTCAGTTTGTGTGGAGCTTGTGTTGATGAACAGTTGTCACTGTATAATCCTCAAGGTTGTATTGAGAGGCTATTGAGATCTGATTTCATGCTGCACCTTAATTTGTACTCTCTCTTCAAATACTTCCGTTTTGGTTTGGTTTCTTTCCCCTCCTGATTTGATGTTTTTCCAAAGGGAAAACCAACAAGAAAGGTGAAGAGCTTCTGGTTGTGATTGTTTTCTGGTTTGTTGTTGGTTTTTTTTGCATAGGTTCACTCTTTACTTCCGAACACTTGAATTGTTTTGGTACTGTTGACAAAGGAAAGATGACCTCTCCTGTAGTGAGTAAACAACATATTCAAAACATTCCTCTCTGATTTTTCTTTCTTTTAATGAAGTTTTATTTCTTTACATGTAAGAGTGATGTCCTGATTAGCAACTCTTATAAAACATGGAGTATTTGTTGTGTATTTTTTTCTGCAGAAAGGGAAAGACACACTGTGAGACAGGTGTAAGAGCCTAGAATTAACTAACATTTCAAGCTCTCAGAGTCTCCTAAGAGAGATATATGCTTTTAAAGCTTATTTTGGAGGGACAGATCAAAATGGCTTCTAAATAGTTCTTAAAGCTCTTCCAGGATAAATATTGCACAACCTGTTGTAGGCCAGTGTTTCAGAAATAGCTTAGGAGTACCTGGTGTTGTCACAGGACTAAATGGGGCAGTAAGCATTTATCCTAGACCTGGACAAAGGCTGTTACTTGTCAGCATTTCTTTCCCTGACAGTGCTGCCTACAGCTGTCCTTGCTGTTTATTTCTACCCTGTCAGATGCTCAGTGCATTGGTTCGTGCAGCCAGATGGAGGGTTGGGCTCAAGAATCCTCCTTAGGTTGAGTTACTTTGGATCAAGAAGCTGATCTTGTCGCATGTTTTTTTCAGCCTCACTCTGTGCTGTTTTTATTTAAGTGTGAGGTATTAGGCATGTGCTGTAAATCTCTTCCTCTGTGTAAACTGGAGCCACTAGTAAGTGTCTGTGTGGGGGGTGCATTTCTGCTTTGGTAGACTTACTCAGGAGGGTTATGGATGTAAATGGCTTCTGTATCTCGTTTTGTCCTAATTGCAGCCTAATTTTCTCTTGTTTCCTTCCCCTCCACATTGCCATTCAGGGTCCACCGCCATACTACGAGAATCATGGCTTTCAGCCAGAACACATGTATCCTGCCAGGCAGGCAGTGGGTGCTAATCCATATCCACCATACTACTCCACAAACGCTCCATCAGTGCCAAGCTACGTCCCAAGGGTTGTCACCCACCAGTCGACTAGGCCAGTAGAACATTCGTCTGGGAGAACGTGTGCCTCAAGTAAGTTTCGTTGGGATTTCTTCCAGTTTGAGACTTCAGATCTTTCAAAGGAAGATAACAAAGAAAAGAGATCTTCACTTCCAGGTCATGTGTTGAAGGAGCCACCTCCCTGTGGCTGGGATGGTGGTGTAACTGGACAGGTGATTTGGCGGAAGGATGGTGGAATAGACAAAACTGACAAATTATGTCTGGTTTTAGTATCAGGAAAATACTGCTGGTGGGTGGAAATGACTTAATTTGTGAACCTAATTTCTTTTTTTCTCCTTGCTTTCATTTCAGGTTTAAAGAAAACCATAATCATTATATTATCTATTTTAATAGTAATTTGTTGTGCAATTGCTGCTTTCTTCATCTGGTATTTTGGTAAGCTGTTTTTTTTTTCTTGTTCATTTGTTTTGTGTTGAAAGAAGAGATGTATTAAACTCTGAAAGTTAGAAATGCATTCTCATCTTGTGTTTTATGCTGAATTAAGTACAGGAAAGCCCTTGTTACTTCTGTCCTGAGAGATGAACTATTGTTGCTTCCTAAGAGCTCAGTTTTGTTTACAGCTTAGCTTTTTGTTCTTTCTTTTTAATGAGCAATGCTGCTGTCATTTCCCATTCATCAGGTAAATATGTTTTTGATGTTAAAAAGCGTCATCAGCTTTTTGACTCTTCAGGAGTGGCTTATTCAGGTGGCTTCTCTGGAAAGCTCCACTCTATCTGCAAGAGCTGGCGAAGTACAACTGTGCAGGACTGTGGCTGTCAGTAAAGAGCAGTTCCACCTCTCCAAGGGTGTTTGCACGGAGGGACACTTGGCACATCACTGTGAATGGCCAACACATTGTGTGGTGCATTTCCTTAGGGAAGTCACAGTGGTGAATCCTCTCTGAAATGGAACTCTGTTCCCAATTTGAATTTCACTTATTTTCCAGTGAAGGAAGGAGATTGCAATAAATGTGTATCTCCTGTTGTGTCAGGCTGGGGCTCCTCCCATCTCTGAGTTTGGGATCTCTCTGATGTTTTACTGTCTCCAAATGGAATATGCCTTGAGAGTTGGCAGTGGGCACCTCATGGCTGTGTTTCTCTCTCCCTGCAGTAGAGAATCATTGTCTCAGCTCCCTAATTGAGTGTGGATCTTCAGGGGTGTGCATGCCAGCCTCGCAGTGGTGTGACGGAGTGAGCGACTGCCCCAACGGGGAGGATGAGACGCGGTGTGGTGAGTGAGGGCAGTCAAGGGGAGGGGGAGGAGACCTGCAGCCAACCACAAGAGTTTTTTAGCACATTGCATCGTCCAAAGCTTGCCTAAGTCACAACAGGGCTGCTTTAGCCTAAGATCTAACTTTAAAATGGTTTAGAATGTGAGAGTACCTTGACTTTGAATTGGTTTTGAAGACATTGCCTCTTAATTTGAAGGGGGTTTGTGCAAAACTGAATGTAGTACTGTCTGTGGAATGAACAGCCATCGTTGACTCTCTGTAAACTTCAGGTGATAGCATAAACCTTGTGGTCTTCAGTCAGGCTTCTCTTTTTCCATGTATTTTGTACTCCTCATTCTCCCTGTAATGCTTCAACTACTACTGCTGGCCTGGATCAGGAACAGCACAGCACAGGAGGGACATTGAGGTGCTGGAGCAGGTGCAGAGAAGAGCAACGAGGCTGGTGAAGGGACTGGAGCACAAGTGCCATGAGGAGAGGCTGAGGGAGCTGGGGGTGTTCAGCCTGGAGAAGAGGAGGCTCAGGGGAGACCTTCTCACCCTCTGCAACTCCCTGACAGGAGGTTGGAGTCAGGTGGGGGTTGGTCTCTTCTCCCAGGCAACCAGCAGCAGGACAAGAGGGCACAGACTCAAGCTCTGCCAGGGGAGGGTTAGGTTGGATCTTAGGGAGAGCTTTTTTTACAGAGAGAGTGCTCAGGCATTGGAATGTGCTGCCCAGGGAGGTGGTGGATTCACCACCCCTGGAGGTTTTCAAGCTGAGACTGGATGTGGCACTTAGTGCCATGGTCTAGTAAGGACAGTAGGGTTGGACTTGATGGTCTTGGAGGTCTTTTCCAACCCAGTTGATTCTAACTCCTTGTGTAAGAAGGCCTGGCCTGATCAGTGTTTCCAACTGAAAAGATGCCAAGGGAAGCTTTAGTGCAAAGCTGAAGGTAGAAGGTGGAAACATCATCAGTTTGTCCATTTCAAAGTTGTGGCACCTTGCTTCTAACACCTGAGTTGTGCCTGTTCCATGCTGGAAAACTCCAGCTGTGCTCTTTCTCTCTCTCTGTGAACTTTTATTCTGCACGTGCCTCATGCAGGGTTAGCATTTAGTGGCATATGCTCTAAAGCTGTTCCTCTCCATTTGGTTGAATAATGTTTTTTTGGAGAAATTTGTTCAATCTGTTCCTTTGCTTGAACTATTTTATATTAAATTCTTGTGCAAATAAATACATAACGGGGCATGGAATGTCAGACTTAATTGCTTCTTGTTATATTCTTGCTCTATAAGTGCTTCTCTGAAGAAATGGGTGTATTAAGGCAAAATATGAAGTACATTACAATAGATTTTATTTTATTTATACACAATATATAATAATATGTGGTTGTGTAGATAAAAGATAAGATTGATAATTGCAGTCATTCTTGGTGGTAGAATATGAAAGAATTCTAAGCATCAAAGCTGAAATGAGAATATGAACACTATCTTGTATGTTTGCATTTTTAAACTGATAGTTCTTTTAAATCGCTTTACATGAAAAGAATTAAGTCATTACCATATTTCTGTCTCCTGGAAGATGAACACTGTCTTGTACGTTTGCATTTTTAAACTGATAGTTCTTCTAAATCGCTTTACATGAAAAGAATTACGTCATTACCATATTTCTGTCTCCTGGATTAGAAGGCAGCATTAAATTAACAACAGTTCACACACAGAAGTGAATGTGTAGCAATATGTGTGAGTAGTGAAAGAGCTGTATTATAATGTGTGGTGTTCTTGCTTTCTTTTTTTCTTTTTTTTCCCCTTCTTCCTTTTCTGACAGTTAGACTTTTTGGACCAAATTTTATCCTGGAAGTTTATTCACCTGTCAGCAAATCCTGGTATCCTGTTTGTCAAGATAACTGGAATGATGATTATGGGAAGATTGCATGTAAAGACATGGGCTACAACGTGTAAGTCCAAACTTCATCAGCCTTTGCACATACACAAGAAGGTTAAAACTTCCCTCTTGCCATTTTAAGAACACGTATCTGAGACAAGAAGCAGCTGGCAACCTAGTTCTTGTGAGCCCAGGTGGGCCTGATGCTACCCATGGTAGCTGTTGCAGAATCAAAAGGCAATGTTGCTCCAGTAGGAAATGGGATTTGGCACACATGCCACAGTCACGTGCTGTGGGGTCAACTTGTGTCCAGTACATTCACTTAGAACATTCTGCCAGAGCTCTCTCAGATCATTGTAACTGCTCAATAACATAAAATCCTTCCCTGTGAGGATGGTGAGACATTGGCACAGGTTGCCCAGAGAAGCTGTGGCTGTCCCATCCCTGGAGGTGTTCCAGGCCACGTTGTATGGGGCTATGAGTGACCTGGTCTAGTGGAAGTTGTCCCTGGCCATGGCAGAGGGTTAGAACTAAAGTACTTTCCAACCCAAACCATTCCATTCTGTAAAATCACTGCAAACATTCGTGGCCCTGAGTGCCACGTTCTCCCCAAGTAATGCCCTAGCATAAATTCTTCCTGCAATTGAAATACTCACTGTTGTCTCCTTTGATACAGTTGGCAAATACTGTCCTCTGTTGTGCATGGAGCAGTGGAGTGATTTTTTTAAGGCAGGCAGAACTTGTGTGTGCCCATGCTGTGTCATGGTGCTCCTGCATTCATGCAGGTCTCTGATCCAGCAGTGTCTCCAGTAAGACAGCCCAGCAGCAACTATGCAGAGCTGGTCCTCAGCTAGAAAACCTAGGAGAACAGCCACACTTGCTGCCCCTCTCACAGTCCCACTGAAACATGGTTATCACGATTTATTGCACCTGAACTTTGCTGTGCTGTGTAAATGTCCTGGCAAAGGTATTTCTTCATCTTACCCTGTGGCAAATATTTTTTTAGTGTTGTCATGTCAGATGTTCTAGCTTGGCACAGCTTATTGTTGCTTGCTTGAAAACTGAGACTACTGGGTTTCATAATGGCATTTCTGTTCTGCAGGGATACTTATTACTACAGTCGTGGAGTAGTACCTGAAGTCAACTTTAAAAGCTACATGAAGCTGAACACAAGTGCTGGGAACATAGACTTGTACAAAAAGCTGTACAGCAGGTATCTTTGTTTAATACAAACCTCTTTCCTTTTATGAAGGGTCTGTTTAGCTGTTGTAAGAGTTGTAGCTTCTGCCCACAGCATAATACAAGCACATCTTTCAATGAGGATTGTAAAAGGGAAAGAAAGTGCTCTCCATTCTGTTTAAAACCACAGCTGTCAATTTTCCATTCTTCCTCTCATCTTTTAAAAGAAAAGATGTCCCATCTTGTTCCCTCCTTGTTGTCTAGAAGGTTGCCATGTTAAAGGTACTTTTCCAAGGGTCTGTGACCATCAGCAGGAGTTTCTGTATGGTGACAATAGCTGTGAGCTGTAACACATTCACAGCAGCTGGTACAGCTTTTTTTTTTATTTTTCAGTCACATGAACACACAGCAGGCAAAAATGGATCTTTCACTGTGGAAAGGATCATTTTTATTCTCATTAAACAACTCTGAAGTGTCTAGCTTCAAAACCTGTAGACTGCTGTGCCTGCAAAGTTCGTGCAGCTCCCTTGTTTAGATTGTTCTACAAGTACTTCAGAAATCAGCTCAGCTTTTTCCCATGCTGTTCTTCATCTTGCTCCTCAATAGGCTTACAAATGTTTTGTACTGGTGTCTTCACTCTTCCATGTGACAGTTTTGGTGAATGCAGCAGGTGGTGGAGTCCAGATGGTTGCTGGTAGGGTAGCTGGAGAGAGTGACTAAAGGAGGGAACCCTCAGCAGGAGGATGAGGCTGAAGGAAGGGCACATAGCTGGAAAGAGTAGGAAGCAGCTGGAGGGTGAACTTTGCTCACCATTTTCTTCACTGTTTACCTAAGATCTGGGTTTTTTATTTCTATTTCAGTGATTTCTGTGCATCAGGAAATGTGGTTTCTCTGCGCTGCATAGGTAAGTCACTGTGCTTTTTGAGCTTCTGCTGCTTCATGCTTTGAAATGATCTGGGAAGTACTTTTGAATCTGTGTAAATAACTGCTGTCTTTGGATGGGCAAATGACTTAGCTCTGGTTCCCAAGTTTCAAACGGTGCAGTTTAAGGAGCAGCGTGAGAGAGGAGACAGGGAGGATGTTGAACCCCCTGTTGTTCTTGTCTTTGCTGTCACTGGTTCCTTTAAATGACTTGTGTGTGGTGAAGCTCCATATCCCTCACCCAGCAGCTGTGGTGTGGTATCTGTAGCACATTTGCTCTCCAACACACAGTCTTTGGGCAGGCAGGAAATTTAGGTTAGATAGATACTGGGAAGAAATTCTTCCCTGTGAGGATGGTAAGACAGGTTGTCCAGGGAGGTTGTGGATGCCCCAACCCTTGCAATGTTCAAAGTCAGGCTGGATAAAGCCTGGAGCAACCTGGTCTAGTGAGAGGTGTCCCTGTGTACAGCAGGGAGGGATTGGGACTAGATGATCTTTAAGGTCCATTCCAACCCTTTAACATTCTCTGATTCTATGCTTCTAGTTTGATGGGGAGGTCTACACTATGGGAAACTTTGGATCTGGGTGTCAGGGCATGGGCCTGAGCTGTGACTGGATGTGGCACTTAGTGCCATGGTCTAGTAACCACAGTAGGGTTGGACTCAGTGATCTTTGAGGTCTCTTCCAACCAGGTTGATTCTATGATTCTATGATATCCAACACCAGCACTCCAGAGATCAGACATGGTCTATTCTCCCCTTTGCCAGCAAAGCCTGAGCTGCAGAAACCGTCTCCCAGGCCAGCTCACTCTTTAACTAACGCTTGGCTGTGCGTAATTGACTCCACAGAGTGTGGCCTGTCCACGAAGAGCGTGAGCATTATGAACAGGATCGTGGGTGGCAGTGGGGCTGTGCTGGGGCAGTGGCCATGGCAGGTCAGTCTCCACGTGCAGGGTGTCCACGTCTGTGGGGGCTCCATCATCACGCGCCAGTGGATCGTGACGGCGGCACACTGTGTGGAGGGGTGAGTCTTGCCAGTCACCTAAGTGACTGGCTCACTCCTTCCTCTCTCAGCTGGCTGTTTTCCTTGCTTCAGGCTGAAATGCCTGAAAGTTTAAGTCTCCCAACATTTCTGCTGTTAAAACTGAATTCCTCGCCTTGAATGCAGGTGCTAGGTGTGGTATTTTGTCTGTGTAGCAGTATAGGTTTGAAGTATTAATGGAAAATTAGTTCTGGAGGGGTCTGGGTGCAGATCATCTGTCTGCTCTGTACAGGGAGAAAGTCTTATTTTACTTGCCAAAGGTGGAAATTATATTGGATGTGGAAATTGTATTGGATGGTGGTGCTGGGCACAGATACCCAACCCAATTTAAGATCTGAACTCAAGGCACCAAACTTCATGCCAGACAGTACAATGTTTTTGGGAAGATGTTGAATTACACTGTGAGAAAAGCCAAATAATAAAATAAAAAAATAATATTTCCCAAACCCTCAAATATCACACAGCTGTAGATATGATCAATTTAAAGATGCCTGTACTATTTATTTGCTCGTATCTTCATGCCACAGGGTAGTAAAGTCTAAGTCAGTATTAAATGTAGTTTTATACATATCCAAGAGCCATCAACAAGAAAAATAGCTGGTGCTTTGTACCTTTTTAAGTTAAAAAGGAGAGTTGATGGTGCTGTGCTACCTTGTGCACAGTAGAAGGATGTGTTTAAAAGGTGGCTGCTTCTGTTGAAGGGAAAACCCACAAATCAAAAAAAATTTCATGGTTGATTGGCTGGATCACACTTTGAGGCTAAGGCAAGGGAAAAAATCTTTGTCCTTAACCTTGAGAAAGGAATGCAAGTGTTTATTTTTATGTGGTGATCTCATGCCTCCTTTGTTTTCTGATTTGAGCTCTGTAGTATACAAAAGCTTTGGTAATGGTAACCAAGCTGTAGCTGGCACAAACCTGGTTTTCAATCTGGATTTGGGTTCTTTTTGGAGGTGGGATGACCTGCAAGCACTACTGCCTTGCAGTTTTCTATTAAGCATCTGTAAATTGTGCTGGAGCACAAGAAGCTACTGAAAGTGCATCTAGTGAGTGTGCTTAACGTTAAAAAACCCCACCAACCCCCAAAACCAACCTAAACCCCCCCAGCATATTCAAGATAGTGAAATTCCTTTACCAGATCATGTTTTCACTAATTCTGGTGTCTGCTGCCCCCCATGCTTTGGGTAGAACATGCTAGTGATACCACTGACATGTGAGACCTCAGAATTAACTGCTTGATCCCTCAGCCATGGAAATCAATAGACTTCAGTGTTGCAGTCTCAGATTTAATTTGTTGTGCTGAGTGACTAAGGGGATGGACAGTGATACTTAACCCATTTCAAAGATTTTTTGGATATATTTATGAAATTGGAGTCAAACTTTCCCAAAGTTAGATGTCTTGCTTTGTTTACCTTGTTCGTCAGAAACCGTAGTCAAATGCATGTGCATTCTTGGTCACACACTTGGCTCTAGTTCCTGAGACAATTTTTTGAAGGTCATAATCTGTGATTTGTTACCACAGAAGCAAATCTTCTAACCTTTCTTCTTTTCCTGTAGCCGATTTTCTGACCCCCACAGCTGGAGGGCCTATGCTGGGATTCTGAATCAGGATGAGATGCTCTTTAAAAATGGATACAGAGTGCAACAGATAATTTCCCATCCGGAGTATGACACAGATTCTAAAGACAATGATGTTGCCCTTATGAAGTTAGAGACACCACTGAGCTTTACTGGTATGTATTCTGCTCTTCTTAAGGCAATGAGCACATCCTTTAAAACTTCTGAATTTCATCAAGAAACCTTTATAGGTACTTACAGGATGAACAAAAAACATGGATAGAGACACCTTAGAGGGAGAGACAGGGTAGAGCTACAGACAGAGGGCACAGCCTCTGATATCCTAAGTAGGATTTACTCAAATTTATTCATGGGAAGGGAGTTTGGACTCATCTCAATAATGGACTTTTACCCTGGAATGCTGTACAGTACTTTAGTATTGCCACTCCTATACGTGCAGACAACTCTATGTGCAGTGGTGGAGCAGCTGACTAAATCCTAAAACAAGTTATGCCAAATAATGATTGGAAAAACACAACCCCACAACCAAACGTTAAGTAGTTCCTTTCTTAAAAGTAAATATAGGTTGTTTGCAAGTGTTTTTTATGCACAGCTCCTTTGTATATCAGTGCATCAGCTGAAAGCTACTAGACCTACTCTGGAAGGGATTTTCTGCTGCTGAGAGCAGGGAGATTGTTTAACAGGTTTTTGTGTTCCACACTTCTTGTTTAACAGGTTTTTGTGTTTCACACTTCTTGTATATAGGCACTGAATCCTGCTTGCATTGTGATTATTTTCTGCAGAGTTTTGCCAAGGGAATGTACTTGCCTGAAGTTTTTCTTCTTTGTCCTGTTCTGATTAGAAGAGCTGGTGCTAATTGTTCTAGTTAGCCTGATGGATTTCAGCTAGAACCACTAACTGTGCTAGCTCCCCACTCTGAGGTGAAGATTAGGCAGATTTTAGGTGAAGATTAGATATCCTCAG